TCTGCGCTTGGTCTGCGCCTCTTTTACAAACAAATATTGTCTTTCAGGTTTAAATAGACAGAATCCAAAAAGGATGCAATCGATATTCATTCCTGGGATCATTTGCGAAGAAAAGAAAGAAGAGTCTACAATGCATTGACCATTTTAAAATTGTATGATTTCAAAAAAAGAAAAAATAATTTGGTACAATTTTGCAATGTGGCGCAGACCAGGCGCAGATCAAGCGCAGATCAAGCGCAGACCAATAGAAATACATGATGAAACGCATTTCAAATTAAGCAGACTACACTTCCTAAGAATGTTAAGATTTATGAGATGTAGAACCCTGCCATGTTAAATCAAATTGCATTTCACCATGTCTTTCTATTGGTCTGCGCCTGGTTTGCGCCTGGTCTGCACCATTTTGCCATTTTATCAACATTCTTAGTTCACAGGTCTCACAAAAAGAAATAGATGTAGACTATTTTGTATTTAGACATTATGATTAGTGTTTAATGCTCAAAACTATCAACTTGGCGCAGATCAAATACGGATCAATAGAAGTACATTGTTAAATTTTAGATTTAAGGCTGCTACACATCATCATTCTAAATGTTGTCAGGAAGTGTAGTGTGCTTAATTTGACATGCATTTCACAATGTATTTCTATTGGTCTGCGCTTGATCTGCGCTTGGTCTGTGCCTGGTCTGCGCCTTTTTAACATTTTTTACAAAAAATTGTCTTTCAGGTTTAAATGGACAGAAACCAAAAGGATGCAATCAATTCATTCCTGATAGCATTGTGAAGAAAAGAAATAATAGTATACATTGCATTGACCATTTTAAAATCGCATGATTTCAATATAGGAATGAATATATAATTTGGTACCATTTGGCAATGTGGCGCAGACCAGGCGCAGATCAAGCGCAGATCAAGCGCAGACCAACAGAAATACATGGTGAAATGCATGTCAAATGAAGCAGACTACACTTCCTGAGAATGTTGACATTTATGGGGTGTAGAACCCTGCCCATGTTAAATTGAATCGCATTTCGCAATGTATTTCTATTGGTCTGCGCCTGGTCTGCGCCTGGTCTGCGCCTGGTCTGCGCCATTTTTGTATTTATAGACAGAAACGAAAAGGATGCAATCGATATTCATTCCTGGGATCATTTGTGAAGAAAAGAAAGAAGAGTCTCAATGCATTGACCATTTTAAAATTGTATGATTTCAATACAAGAAAAAATAATTTGGTACAATTTGGCAATGTGGCGCAGACCAGGCGCAGATCAAGCGCAGATCAAGCGCAGACCAATAGAAATACATGGTGAAATGCGTGTCAAATTAAGCAGACTACACTTCCTGAGAATGTTGAAATTTATGAGGTGTAGAACCCTGCCCATGTTAAATTGAATCGCGTTTCGCTATGTATTTCTATTGGTTTGCGCCTGGTCTGCGCTTGGTTTGCGCCTGGTCTGCGCCTTTTTAACATTTTTTGTAAAAATATTGTCTTTCAGCTTTAAATAGACAGAAATGAAAAGGATGCAATTAATATTCATTTCTGGGATCATTTGTGAAAAAAAAGAAAGAATAGTCTACAATGCATTGACCATATTAAAATCGCATGATTTCAATACAAGAAGAAATGGTTTTGGTACAACTTGGCAATGTGGCGCAGACCAGGCGCAGATCAAGCGCAGACCAATAGAAATCCATTGGTGTGCACCATGGCATATAACGATCAAATGACCACCAAGCCCAAAGCATGTGAGTATTTACTTAGATGCGAGCCCTGCTTCTGTGATAGAGATGAGTGCCATGTCTAGGGCTTCAGGTGATCATTGAATCACAATGGACCATGCACCATGCACTTGAGGCAATGATCTGGGGATGAATTCAATTACTGATTTATGGGTTTCATTAGATGTTGTTGCCTTTGGGAGTGCATAGTTGTGAAGACATGGAATTGCTCCAGCTGCTGCTGGCGACATAGTCTATATCATTTTGTGTTTGAAGTGGATGGTTGTTTGGTTTTGGAATTTGGTTTTCAATTGCATATTCTGGAGCGAGCAAGCTTCAACAACTGGTTTCAGTGTTTCTGGAAAGGCAGCAGACATGAACCACAGTCACTGGGAAACCTTGTTGAACAGACTTGATTCGCCGGCCGTTTGCACGCCATCTCAGCTCTCTGAGTTTGACAGTTCTAACATCACAGACATACACTGACCAGATACAAACAACAAAAACATTTGACGACTCATTTCTCAAGGGCTCAATTAGGTTTCTCGCTCAATAGTTAGTAGCCTATTTTCTTGGTTTTGATATGGTTAGTTATGAGTCAATGAGGACGCTCTTAACAGCAGTGTTTGCATGAATGGGACAAACATGTCTTTACAATTTGGGCACTATACTGATCTGCTATTGCAATGTAAGTAGTCAATCTTAGGAAAACTGTTCCCATCCACAACGACCCACACCATAAGATGATTCTTTTTGACATTCACATTCATAGTTGGACTGGACAGTTTCAAATCGGACATCAACAGCTGGGCCATGAGTCAAGTCGTACTCGACGGTGAGCTGGTCCAGCTGTACTGTCAGGCCTGCGGTGTGGCCATGACATTGGACCAGGCCAATCGCTTCCTTCAGCTGGACCAATTGATGCCCTTGGGTTAAACGATTCACGATGCTTTTGTTTTATTTACTCACTTCAGGATAGTTGTCGTTGTTCAATTGTTGTGATTTGTCTTGAGTGGTTCTGTCGGAACAGTAATAATTTTATAGCAGCTGTGCTTGTTTCACTGACTGCTGTAATTTGTTTGTGGAAATGTCAGCACTTCTAGTAAGTATTTGACTCAATGATGGATGGATTGGACAGACTGACGAGACTGACTGAGGTGCGTGAACTTTTTAAAAAGATTGTCGGACCGGTTTGAAGCAGTGGACGAGATCAGGAAGCCGTCCCTTGACAAATTGTGTATCATTGCTTTGAACTGTTTGTTGGTTGCGCCTATCTGAACATTCAGTGCTCATTCATTCATGTGCTCAGGTTCTACCCAAGAGGCTCTTTCGCAGTTTCTATGACGGACACTATGCGACATCCTTTGCTGACGTGTCTTAGTCTTGACCTGAAACAGAACCATTTTGATTAGCTAGTAGTGATGTTTCCAATGTTTTTGGTCATTTTGGTGAAACTCTTTTAGTGCTTAACTTGCCAGGATTGCGAGGGACAAACTCTCAGAGAACATCCGCGAGCGGATGGAGGACTATCGTGGACGTTGCGAGGGACAAATTGATCTGGACCGGTGGAATCAGTGGTACAAGGACGAACCAATCCATTTGGTGCCGGTCTTCTACGCTGGACTTATGTGGTGCATGCAGCACTCCTTCACCTCAACGGAGTTCTTCGTAAGGATTCGCCAGGGAGATGACGGCAACTTGGACCACATTTTCACAGTTGTCAACGCCACTGAATAAAGTTAGTTGAGTGACTGTGAGTTGTTCATTTTCACTGGCATTTTATTAGGTAGTCAGTTGTTGGGATCATTTCTGGGGACTTGTTATTTGGCAGCCTATGTCATCCCAGGACCCGAGGAAGCAGTCTTTCAGTGCTGGGGCGTTTTGCTCGTGCCTATGCAGAATGTTAATCCTTGATGGACAGAGCACCTTGGGACTCAGGTGTTGGTCGGACAATGTCAGGACTATGAGAGTCGGACTCTGTTTGCAGTATGCTGTTGGACTATTTCAGACTGGAGCAAAGTCTCCCATGAACATCGCAGGGTGTCGTTGGCATGGAAAAAGGTTGGCGCCGCATCAGACAGGGACAGACAGTGGGAGATTGCAACGCTTTATATCCTCCAAAATGTTTGAAAGAAATGATGAAACTCAGCAGTTGCAGGTACATATATGAATAGTATTGCATTTCCAACTTCCATTTGGCTTTCCTCGATACTTGTGTCCCAGTGCATTGTATTCCTAGTGCATTGTAGCACAGCAAACCCACACCAATGCATGACCTTCACCATCCTTTGCATATCCTCCTTGTCTCTTTACCATGTTTGTTTTACTCACTAAAACACCTTCATTCTTGTCAGGATCATATTTCAACAAAAGCCTGGCTACCAATCAAAGTTGATTTATGCAATTTGGGCACATTTCATTACCATTTGATGCAAGGTACTCATTTCTTTTCTTTTTTATTATTTGAAAAATTTTGCTCTGCTAACTGTACAAATGATACATGCTGACATTTGGGGTCAAACTTTGCTGGATTCCATGCTCTTCCCTGGTCCCTGCCCTTCCCTGGTAATGGTGCCGCCCAAGCAGCCTGTCTTTGCGCACGCTGTAAACGGGATGGTTTGGTTCTGAGCATCGGTAGCGGTCCCAGAAAACCTGGCAAGCCTCGCGCAAATCCTTCCCACCACAAAGAAGATCTAGCCTCTGCTCCCGACCAATCATTTCGATGAAGTCCCTGATGGAAAGTACTGGGTGGCGGCTTTTCAGACCGATGTCTAGAAAGGTTAACTTGCAGTCGGCCTGCAAACCATTTTTCTCCAGCAAATCGGGATTGGATTCTTTCCCTGTTTTACCAAGACGCCTCATATGGTTCAACAGGTCTTGGCTTCTCAACGGTGCGCTGCCAGCTTCATCAGCTTCATCCATGAAAGCCCCAGCCAGCATGCACGTTATCCTGTAGGGCACCTCGATCACTTGTTTTCAGGAGGGGAATTAAAAACAAGAGAGCTCAGGTAGCAAGCTCTGTTTTCATGACAACTTGTGGCTCACCGCACTTGGGCCCAGCACTCCTGCACCAATGGCCTTTGTAACCGCCTTCTTCGCAGGCGCCCAAGCCGAAGTCGCCGAAGAGGAGGATGGGTCGGGTTGATAAAATTAGTTGAAAGCGAAGATGTTTAAGGAAGTCTGTGGTCCAACTCATACCCCAGTGGATAAACACTCAAAGGACTTGGCGCAGAGAAGATTCACTCTTCCATCCATTTTTTTGCAGGAGTTCACGCGTCATTGCACGGCCATGTGCTTCTCACAAAGCCATGTTCCCAGATTTACCCCTAAAGGAGTGCAAAGGCAAGGGCCAAATGCTTATTGGCACTTCTTCTTTTTCCGGTGACAGGGAAGCAACATGTGTCACTTACACGTGAGGTCAAAGAGGTCCCTTGAAATGCACTCAACCCCGGATGATCCAGCACCATCCCATAAGATTAGTTCCAAGCTTTGTCAACTACTTATTCTTTCCCTCCTCACTCTTGTTCTTGTTCTTGTTGTCCTGCCACGAGCAGGCTTTTGGAAACACATGGCATGAGGAATTTCAAAAGAAATCTTTGTTGACGTTTAAAACAATGGATCCAAACCTTGCCAGTACCTGATCGTCGATTGGGCTTGTTCTTGGCCTGCTTCAGAACCGTCCTTAGCCGCGAATCTTTTGAAACGAGTTTGAGATGGTGGCTTCTGATCGCAAACGGCATGAGTGGCAAACTTGCGGACTTTGTTGCTTTGCACGGCAACCATGTTGCACCTAGGCAGGGTTTTTCAATTCTGGTCTCAATTAATGAGCTGTGGGAAAATACCATGGGGCACATTTCTTAGCAAGTCACCTTTGGAGCTCGAGCGATCTGTGGCCCCAGCAATTTATCGACCTCTTTGAGTTTCATCTGCAACTTGTCGCGGAGCCTGAGGAGTTTGGACAGATGATTACCTATACATGCAGGCCTGCAAGAGAAGGTGGAGGGAGAAGGAAAAGTAAATAAGTTTCTGGCGAGTCGGTGGGCTTGCGGGTCGAATCAATCTCCCCCTTGACGTCAGCGACTTCATCGTGGAGCGCCAAGACCTTTCTCTTGAGGTTGCTGACGGATGTCAAAGACCTGAATTGGGGTGAACGCATGCGTAAACCCTGCAACAATTGTTTATAAAGAGTTCTTTGCAAACACGTGAATCAAGGGTCTGGCGCAGCAGCATCCGGATGTTCGACTCCCTACGGTACAGGGCTTCAGTCTATACAAAAACACCATGTAAGATTTGGCTTTCAAATAAATATTGAATTGAGGTCGCCTGTAGCTTGCTCTCCAGGTCGACCAGCTTGTTCTGCTCTTTGAGAAGCTCTTCGAGGATCTTGGGCACATCGTCCGCTTCCTGCGTGTGGGATTGGTCAACAAAAAGGTCTAGCATATTGTATACAGATCTCTCTCTCTCTCTCTTCTCTCTTGAGGTCTTTGTTTTCCAAGCTTTCTGATTTGTTATCGTTTTTCCTCATTGTAAAATGAAAATGAAAACATATAGCAAGAGCTTCAAAGCCGATCCTCGATGTCGGAACCGTCGTCAGACTTTGGCGATCGTCGCGGCTTACGCTTAGTCAGGGGGGTGGCTGCAGGTTCACCCTCAGACTCTTCCAATTCTGGAGCAGGCTCCCGACCGTTCTCTAGGCCCATGCCCGGGAGAGAGGACAGCGTAGTAGAGCCCCTAGCAACAGCACCCTCACGAGTCTCTGTGGCTTCTTCTTCAGACTGCTCTTCCTCTTCACGAGTGAACGTTCCTTTGTACTCTTCCTCTACCCAGTAGCGATACAACTTCTTTTCATACTTGTCTCTCAAAACATGGGTCTTTCGGCGGTGCGCGGCACGGCAATATGCCTTCACCCCCTTTCTGCGGTTCCTTAGTCTCAATGACCATTGAGCTAAAACCGGCCTAGCTATTGTTACATCTATCTATCTACCTATCTATCTATATATATATATGTGTAGTTCTGAGCCCTTGGCTCATCGAAGTTCAACTTCTCCGCCATTTCTTTCTCGGTGTAAAAGCCTGCTGTTATCTGAAACTTACCGTTTTTGGTGCGCTTCAGCTTGCGGGTCACCACCTTCACGAAAGCCGCCTCGCCAATTGTGATTATTGAAGGTTTTCTTGATAAGGTAAACAGAAAACAGTGAACCAACCAAGACTTGGAATGACAAGTGTTTGGTAAACTCTGAACCACCTTGTCCATGTTGCATTGTTTCATGAATGTGTTGAGCAACTCCTCACGGTGCACCCCACGCTTGTGGAATTGCTCGGCGACCGCGTCCGGGACATCGATCGTTCCATTGGATTTCCGAGTGCACATGCGTCGGAGCTGATTAATTGCTGCTGCTTTGCGCTTTTCTTCCACAGGATCCTCCCAGAAAAATGCAAGGGGGGAATGTTGTAAATTTGAAGTATTTAGCGTGAGAGTTCCTTTTCTAAAGCGCTCTTTGATGGACCAGCAAACAAAACTGCAGGATCCTTCTCCTTCTTGGCTGTTGGACCGCCGGTGGCCTCAGCAGCCGGATCCGCCTCCGCTGGAGACGTGGTAGGAGCCTCACCGGGACAGGCGACGGCCTGGATCAAACCCTTCCCCCAAAAAAGAAGCAAACCTATATAGGTAAAGGCTCGGACAAAACCCTTTAGTTGATGCACGGGTGCACCAAGAAACTTTGGTGGGAGACGGTTCTTCTTTTGCTAGACCCAAGTGAGCGTGCAAGCCCTGAAATAGCGAATCATCGTCATCATCTTCCTGAGATGGAAAAAGATGGGTGGCCTTTTGGAGGAAGATGAAATGGCATACAAGGCGCTGGGCGCTGGTTTATAAAGTATCTCAAAAAATATATGTACATATATATATATATATCTACATCATCTTCTTGAGATGGAAAGGGTGGCCTTTTGGAGGAAGATGAGATAGTATGCGCGTACATGATAGCTCAGTGGCTTTGTCTTCAAAAAATAAACACACATATATATATGTATATACACAGTATACATATATATATATATATATAAAAAGCACAATTTGCCACCATGATTCGTTGGACATGATTTCACCGATATCAGAAATACTTGTGGAAAGGTCGATCATGTACGGGTCCCTCAGTTCTGTGCACTCGTTGTACAGGTCCATGGACTGCACCTCTGAAAGCTCTTCAACCGTTTCAACAGGGGTCCCGCCGAAGAGATCATCCTCTTCCGCCCGAGTCCCCATGTTTGCTCTCAACTCCTCCTCAGTAGCTGGGATCGTATCCTCTTCAGGGCCCAACTGGTTAGGCTCCTGTCGCGAAGGCACACGGGTCCCCCAAGGAAGAACAGGAGGTGCGCCAATCTTAGCAGCAGAAATTTCTGCATCTGCTTCTGTCTCCACTGAAAGAGATTGTAATTGACGTCGCGCAGCCTCCAAAAGAACACGGGGACCAAATCACAATCATTCGAGAACAGGTGCACAGTCGATATACAAGCTAACTAAAGTCACTAAGGCTAACCCTGCCTCAACAAGCTCTTTCAAATCTTCTTCAGTCTTAACCTGCAATCCCTGGTCTTGCAGGAATGAGGCTGCTGCACCGAGTGTGTTCAAGGAAGACGACACACGCTGGCGCGTCGTCATGGTCAGCGGTCACTCAGCAAACGGTGCCTATAGCTTGAAACGATGGCTTTACAATAGACAAACTGACACGTCAAGAGTGCGCAAAAGTGGCGGAAAGTGAACAATCCGACAACATTTTGCGCAATTCTGGACCCATACAAAACGTACGGAAAAATACGCCACTATACGCTTTTATACGCCACTGTACGCTAAAGTGGTAACTTTTCAAAATGCTCCAAATTGCGCAAAAAGTCATCAAAAGTAGCATTGAGCGCATCGTTTTATTCAAAAGCTGCCACTGCGCAAAGATGCTTCTTACAGGCCCTTTTCTTATCACTGAAAGTGCGCAATCAGATCTATATATATCTCTCCATCGTGTTTGCCTCCGTAGGCGTAGATCTAGTAAATGAATCTTCACTAAAGCCACGCACACGCACTGTCCATGTTTAGTAAACTAACAGGCGCACACACACTAAATCAAATAGATACATTTATGAATACATGGTGTGTGTTTTGTCTTTGAGACCTGAGGGGGGGGCCAGGAGGTTCGTGAGTCTTCAAGAATAAATGACCCTGCTGTTCTCCATGAATAGAAGCAGAACACCATGTATAGACATAAGAAGCTAGGCTGGCAGTTGGAAGACTCTCGAATTAGATGGGTGAGGCTCAAAAAAGAAGTCCTCTATCGGAACCATGGCAGCTAACTGTTCAACTGCCAATGAGTATTTACTTTTTTTTCCAAAAGGTACACGAAGGCTTCGCCTAGGTTGGCATCGTTCCAAACGTCTCTCAGCCATTCGCCGCGGTGATCGGCAATGTGCTTCATGAGCCCTTCCATGTTATAGTCCGGAACCTGCATATGGGCTAGCCAAGTTTGATATCAAACCATAAAGGGTTTCGATATAAAACTTGAGGGTTTGTTCTATTCACAAATTATGCGTCGCAAAACATGAAGTCGGATAGGAAGTGGCCTCAAGCTGAGGCTGAAAAGCTTGTCGCTCATCCACAAGGCTTGGAAAGACTTGGGCAAGCCAATTGGCGGCAAACCCAATGGGGTAAAACCTGGGCTGGTCGCTGGTTTTGTACTCTTGGGGGGGCGCTAGGCTAGTCAGCTGAAACAAATCCTGCATACGCCTAGCAACTGGCTTCCTTTCAATGTTTTGGACCCCTGGTATCCCCGCTTTCCGCTTTTGGACACCGTTCGAACTGCAAGCTTTTCCTTCACGGTGGCACGCATGGTGGCCGTGAGTCGTCGGGTGCGAAGGAGGTACACTCCACGTGAGTTTGACCAGCACCGTGTTCTTTTTGGGGTAGGACCACCATACAGCCGCATCCAGAACGCTTGTCGGAAAACCTCAATTTGGTGCCGGTTGATTGATGAGCTGATGACACGCGTATACCTTCGATCTTTCATATTCCAAAAAATCACAACAGCAATTTAGTCACGAGGCTTTCATCACCCTTGCAACACCCCTCATGCGTGGGTGACGCCACAAGACACTGCTAATCGGCTGTTCGACCAAGTAGACTGCCCCACAAGCGTGGATGAGGTAGCACAATAAGGCCAATCTATCAGAGGGCAAGCTTCACGCTTAAGTAATCATTCCCATTGATATTTGATTCAACTTTCTCCCTTGGTAGCCCTGGCCCTGCCTCGCTGCCAGCAAATTGCCAACAACCACACTCTGAACGGAGCGCTTGGGGGGCCAAGTAAGTCCGGTGCGTCGTGCCCCGACTAACAGACACCCACGATGAGCAGACAACTGCCAAAACAATGACTGAACCTGCTTTGCAAGATAGGATTGCAACAATAGCTGAGATGAATCCTTGTGGGGTCAAAAGGTCGAAAAAGTTGGTGGTCGGTAACTTCTTTCCACTTCTCCTCCCCCGTTGTTTGTACGCGTTGAAGAAACTGATGTCATAACCTGCGAACCGACGTCCTGTCGCACGCCTCATCCTTGTAATGATATTGCACCCGGCAAAGAATTCCACGCCGTCAAAGGCCTGGCAATCGCTAGCAGATAGAAACCCTTGAAGAGTGTGAATTGGAGTGGCCTGGTCGGGAAACACTGGAAGCTCGCTGATCATTAGCAGGATAACGACCAACACCTCAGCGATCGCCAGCGATCGCGCCCGAAAGTCATAAAGGGATATTAAGGGTTCTCCCATAAAATTTGTCAGCATTAATTGGGAGATTCTGTCTGGCAAAAACACGGCTGTTCTCCTTCAGACTTATTAGTGGAAGACCCATCTATATACGCATGTTTTTTAATGTGCACAAGTATAATGGTGTCAGGGCACACCGCACGCACTATCCATTTGCAGAAGCCGCTTGGCCACTGCACAAACCATAGCTGGGTCAATGCGTTGCATGGTTTGATGTCTCTTTTTTTGATATGCTCTCGATCCACTTCACATGCGAGGGAGCCACGCATACTGTTGAGTTCATGCTTGTAAAGCTCTGCCGGCATATGCTACTTTTCAAGTGACTGGTGAGAGAGAGAGAGTCGAGAGACCAGCCTTGCTTGAGGAACTTGTTCCGCACTCGCCAGGCCAAGCTCATGGCCCCATCATCCGGAAAGAGGCCTGGCGTCGCCGGGTGTTGATGAAGCCCTCACCCACCCCACCCAAAAACGCTTGGTAAGGCATTGGTGATTTCTTTCATCAAGCAAACAATCCTGTACGGTGGACATCGCCGCATCAAGCTCACATCACTCACTGCAAGAAAACGTGCGCATACTTGAGTCCAATGATCTTGTTTTAAAAACTAGAAGCAAGAATGCAGTTCCAATGCTCAACCTCCAAGTCTACTACTTTTGAACCACTCTGCAGTGAGGTAAGTGTGGCCCCCGCACAGCTCTTACTGGCTGTGAGATCCCCGCAGCACTGCGACCCTACAGATCATAGCTTCCGTCTATATTCCCAAAGAAGTTCGGCAACCCCAATCCCACCAAAGAAGAAACCAAAGTTGGAGCTTGCAACAAGTCTAGTTTTTATAGTTCAGGCCTGTTGCTCAACAAATGGAGGGAGACCGCTTCAAGGCTAGGGGCGATGCCGCTTCCAAACCATAGGGCCGAGTACCGTTCATGGACAATCTAATGCAAGTACTGCCCAGCTGTTAGGTCCTGGGTTTGTACTTTGGATTCCGACACTGCTTGCAGCCAATTTTTGACTGCCTGCACTTAGTGCATCCAAGCTTGGGGGTAGGCGCAGGACGCTTAGAAGACGATGACGGGCCACTGTTTTTGTCCTCGCCCACAGCCTCTGCACCAAATGGGTCAGTAGGTGTCTGCTTGCGCTTCTTGCCTTCGGTCTTGTTTTTCTTTTTGGTATCTTTCTTTTTAGTCTTCTCCAGCTTGGCTTTCGGCTTGGCTTTAGGCGTTGACTTTGCCTTCGCCTTACCCTTTGGCGCAGGTTTACCCTTCGCCTTGGGCTTGGCCTTACCTTTCCCCTTCAAAGCCGGTTTTGCACCCTCGGCTAAGGGCTCCCCTTCGCTAGCATCATCTGCAGGATAATTTTCTCCACAATCTGTTTCCTTTTCGCTGACTTTGGCCTTCTTTTTGGACTTCTCCTTCTTCTCTTTGTTCTCTGATACCTTTTTGCTCTTAAGTTCACGCTGCATATCTGGCGTGATCTTTTTTGCTGGCTCTTCGATTGGGACACCGCTCACATGATCAGCGCCGTTGCCGGGAGGTGGCGAAGATTTCGATGGAGTTTTCGATGGTTCGCCGGAGGCCTCAGCCTTCTCCAGCTCCTGCAGGGCGGTACCGTTCTAGAACTCACATGTGCACATGGCCCCGGTGAACAATCCACGCAGTCCCAACAATATCAACAATTAACATATTGGACCTGCAAAATTCACGCACCCGTTTTGGAAATGAAGGCCCCCCCACCTTCTTTTTCTCAGCACTGAACATGGGCCCTGCGAAGTATCCTCGCTTTGAAGATCTTGGCTGAGGAGGTGGTGAGTCGCACAAGACCACTCCATACGGGTCATACGGCAAAGTGTCGACCTCCTGCACGCTTGCGTTGGAGAAGGTATACCATATAGCTCAAAATATTTCAAGATACTAAATTAAAGAACAGTGTACATCACCCTTTACCTGTAATTTGTTCGATCACGGACCAAATCCACCAAATCCAAGAGACAATTCAATTGGCGAACGTGGCAAATAGAATGAGCCACAACTGCAGTCCTGGCCAGCTACCGGCGGAGGTGCAGTGGGCTTCGCTGGCTCTGCAGTACCTGAGAGAAGGACGGCGGGGGCCGAGAAACTAAGAGGGTGACACATGGGAGTATGTGAGTTTCATGGAACGTCTAATATAGCACCTAAGATGGTATAGCGTATATTTATGTATTCTTTTTTCAATTCTTATATGTACGTGGATCGGAATTAAATTCGATTGGGCAAGATTGGGTTGTGACAGTTGGGACTCATTGCAACCCGGGTTGCTCTTTTTGCTCGTTCTCAAACTGATCTCACGTTGTAAAGCTAGAAGCTCTTGCTGAAGAAGCGCGATCCGATTTGCCTTTTGCTTTTCCGGTTCCGGCCGGACCTCCACTAACTCAACATCAGACTCCTGCGCAGGCTCCGGGGGTTCCGGGTTCTCGACCACAGGTTCATCTCCATCAGAACCTTCACCATCATCGGACTGATCATCGTCCTCATCACCATCAGACTCAGCGAGGCTGGCGTTGTCCGCGTCAAGCTCCGCATCACCTCCACCATCACCCAGGGCATCATCACCTCCTTCATCATGTCTGACAAAGCGATCAGCAAAGCCTTCTTGGTTTTCACGAAGGCGACGAATGAGCTCGAACAACTTGCGCACCGAATCGTTCTCAGCTCGCGAAGCCGAGAAACAAAAAGACCGGTGGACTACAAACAGCATTAAAGCAATCAAAACTTGCAAAACTTGATTACTGTACCCTTGTTCCGGCATTTTGGAAAGAGTTCTTCTATATATATATATAGATATAAATATTTAAGTATACATATTAAAACACACCAAGTTTTAGCCTGGGTGCGCGAGGGCTCTGGTGTCTCCTGCTAGCGTCTAACTCGCGACGTCTGGCAAAGCCCCAAAGCCTCTTGATGCTCCATGCGTCCACATAGGCTTGCTCTGGAAACTGGGGTTTGAAGTTCAAGTTCTTGAAGAGAGCACGGACCTACAGGCATCATGCATGGGAGTGGTATTTGGGATGCTCTCGGTATGTTTTGGCGTGGCCCCAAATTTAAAAATGCCGTTGGGGTGTATCAGCAAGCCATGTCAAAAAAGAACCGGCCTCTTTCTTGAGCAAACCCACGGTTGGTTTGGGGCGGATCCCATATAGGCTGAACAGTTCGTAGAGGATTTCCGTGTTGTGCTGCAAGAATTCCGTATTCAATGGTGGACCTGCAGTTTCCTTTGCAGGCTTTTCACCTTCACTCTCTTTTGTCGAAACAGGCTCCCTCACAAAGACCCCTTGGTCCAAGATGCGCCGCCTAATCGGAACCCGGCACTCCCATTTCCGTGCCAAGCTGGGCATTTTTGCGAAGTCGCTATACGAACCTTCGCACAAAAAGTTTGAGCCTTCAAGCACCCAGCGGACATCAACCGGTGAAAAGTTCACGCTTGAAAGCATTCTTGGAAGAGACCATGCCGGGTGTTCCTTGCCGAGCGCCAGGAGAAAATCCATGCCATGGATCGTGGCCTGTGGCGCGAGAGGTTGAGCCCGATCGAAGGGAAAATGGTTGCGCATTCCCTGCCTGCAGGGTCGCAGCATGGCTTCGGGCCCCATCGGACGTCGTTCGTAGAAAATTGAAAAACAAATTGAGTTGCGCGATGTTGCGTGTTGAACATCTTGTTGAACACATTCCGAAAGATAAAAGACCGGTATGCTCTAACCGCACGTGTGATTCATGGAAGTGTTTCCAGAGAATGAGTGGAAAACACGTGTACCAGTAAGTAAGCTAGGTTGCCGTGCAACCTTCACCCCCCGCCCAAAAGGGCTGCGATGGTCGGCCATTCGAGCTTTCAAGAAACATTTCCCGACCGACGGACGACGGACACGATTGGAAAAGCAACCAGGAAAACAGGTGACCATCTCAAAAACATAAGCCACAGACCTATAGATCTTGCAAGGTCAGGTTCCGTTTTGACTCGTTTTGTTTGCACTGCTGCAAATCCAGAAGTGTACTGTGTCAAAACTGCTGTTTCATACATTTTACATGTACGTGTGTGTTCTAGCGCAGTTTATATATATATATATATCTAGAACGGCTCAAAGTTGCTCGGGAAAGCAACCATTAGGACAACACGTTGGTAAAAACCATATTAAGGGCTCAAGCTGGCGCGCGCAAGCAGCTTCAAGCTGAGAAAGGTTTGCCAAATAGACTTTCAATCAGGCCACGTTTGCTTTTGTTAGCGTTTGGCATGGCACCGATCTGCCAAATTTGAAAGTGGTAACTTTCTAGTGGTACTTTTCCAAAATACGCCACTCGCAACGGTGGCGTGTAAAAGTTGCCACCCTGGATCTCCAGGTTAGTGCAAGGCTGTTACTGGCCTCAGCCAAGTGCAACACCTGAGGTCCTCTCTGTCTCTGACCGTGAGACAGAAAAGGAGGAAC